AGGAAGGCAGGGACATTTGCATGGTGCAGCAACTCAGCCCCCTTTAAAAGGGCCAAAGCGCGTTACAATTCAGGGGTATCAGCTTGCACCACAGGACAATTGATTCATGTGTCAACACCCATCTCGGGCGATTTAGGGTCTCCCAAACAACGTTTCCCCTAATGGCCCCCAAGCCTCCAGGCCTCGCAAGAACCTTCCTGCCGCGATCTTTGGCACAAGCTCAAAGTCACGCTGAAGGCAGGTCGGAGTGTAACTCGGCGCTTTGCCCTTATCTCCAGAACCGCCATTCACTACCGGCACTTTGCCCCATGATAGACACAAGCCCCACCCATTCACCCAAGCCCCACCCAAGCCCCTAGGTTGAGAAGGGTTCTGAGAATTGTTCTTGGAGGTCCCAAGTTACAGGACCCTATCCACATCTCGCCAGCCCTTTCCGGACGTTATGCTGCTGTCCTCTCTGGCCGTTCGCAAACGTGGTTGGGTTCGCAGAAGGTTCGCTGAACCGGCTTGGGTTCGGACAAGGGATTGGGGTTCGTGGAAGGTTCGCGGGAGGACCGGGGCATTGCAGAAGTCAGTTTGTGTGTAATACCTCGTTTGGTACCCATTTAGATTGTTTCGCAAAATGATGAATCCTGCCTGACCCACTCTTTGACTGATGTAATTGTGATCAAAGCACTAATGACAGAATTCGGAGTTTGTCCTGTGAAAGGATCAGGAAAAGCACACGCTCTGCAAACGGCAGAGTCGAGGCCGAATCCGGTCGCCGCAACCTCCGATTCACGAGGGTTGCTTCGAAGGCGTGCGATGGGCCCTTGACGGCCGTTAGGGACATCCTGGTGGACGGTGACCAGGCCAGAGGTGTTTTGGAGATGTTTGCAAGGTTGAGTCCCAAAAGAACTAAGAGGCCGAACGCGTGTTTGTGACCTCCCGAAATGAATGCCGTCGGGAAACGGAAGAAAGTTGATGCCTCAAGCAAACAACACATGCTCAAGTTCCATGGTATTGTTCAGTTCCTCGCATTTTAACAGCTCCATATTGAATGAGCCAGCGCCTTCATTGCCTGTCATAGCTTGTTTTGACGCCCATGGATCAGGTAGAGAAGAAGTGCTACTCCATTTGGCTGACACCAAAGAGCGCAGCCGCTGATCTTTGTAAGAAGACCATCTCGGATCTTAGCGAGCCGCTCGGAATGAGTAAGTGGAATGTGTTGAGCCCGGACACGAGGATTCCTTCAGCGGTAGGGAGGCCTTGGTTGTTCTTTGTTTGTCGCTTGCCTGAAGATCAGGCCTTTGAGACGTTTCCGAGGTCGGATGGTCCAACATGTCACGCCCATGTGCCAATCCTGCAGTATATCGACATGGATCAGCAGGAGCCGGTTGGAAGACTTAGTTTGAGTGAGAAGAGGAACAAGCAGCCGAACCTGGACTGATGCTTTCGGATATGTGTGCCTTGTTTTCAGGGATTCTTTTTGGGTTGTTTTAATGGAAGACCAAAAGGGAACCAGTTTGCGGGTTCCCTATTTGAGACAAACCCAAATATATCCTGGCAAAGGGGGCGTGCCCTCCGGATCAGGAGATCAGCAGCGTAGTGGAGCGTGTGGCGCGAGAGACGTCGCCCATCGCAGTGGAGTTCGACTCTTTGGACCGCGGGGACGACTTCTACCGTCGCGCCTGCTGTCTCGGAGAGGTTTCTTTTGACAACCCACTATTCGTTCTTTGATAGAGGAGCAACCTTCTTGCTATGCTTTTTGAGACCTGAAATCACCCGCATTCACTTTGGAGAGTTGCAGCCGATTTCCCAGCGCGGAAGTACACAGCCACATGATAAACATGAGGCTCATGCAAGCAGTCTCAATCATACTCATTGCGACATTTCTTGGCTTCCTTCGCTATAAGCTCAAGATGTGCATCTCATTGCCCACGAGCTGCCCTTTGCGACTCCCAAACGCCCAAGGTGTACTTGCGTGCAAAAAAGACCCCGGAGCTGTGTGCGCTGCACATGGACTTGGCGTCGCTGCTGCCGCGTTCCACGATCCTTGGGGCAAAAGATAGCTTGCACCAATCCTTAGGCAAGAAGAAACATAGAGGAGCAGTATCGATCCACCTTTGTAGACCCAACTGCAGTTGGACGCGCCTTGCATCATGTGATAAGGACTCCATTGTGGTATCCAGCACCCTGTCAGGATCCCCAACCTGGGCAAAGGGCATCGCCAGAGCTGGCTGGACATGGCGTCCCACCCCTTTGAGCCGTGCTTGCCGCTGTGCTATGGGAAGCTCACACCAGGACACCAGCACAGTGTGATGCCTGCCTTTTTTGGGTGGGGGGGGTGCTGCAAAAGGGGGGCCCGTTTTTGTTCTTTTGGCCAAGCCACGGAAGGACCCGTGGCTTGTTTTGGAGGGTCAATCAATCCACATTGCGAACGCGATCTGATGCTTGGTCCACTCTGAGCTTTGCCTTTTCAGTGCCAAGTGTTTTTGTGAGCTTGAGTGTCCCAAACTCC